GATCTAAAGCTTGCCAAATGGAACTAGCGGAAGTACACCTTGAGACATGCTCAAATATGCTTGAAGATATGGACCTCTTCAAAGCAAACTCCGCCTTGGCATTCTTTCGTGTCCACTCCTTTGTCACTTCCGGGGTTGCAGCATTTCCCCTTGGTGGTGATGTGCTATTACCACCGACGACATCCCATAAGTCCTCACTAACCAAGTATGACTCAATGCATGACTTCCATAACCGGTAGTTAGATTGGTTTAAGATTTCCATTCCCAATCCAACAACACGACCCGTTGATTCCATACTTAGAACAAACCCGAGCTCTCTTTAAAATTCGATCTTGATGAGCACAAGATTAGCTTGGCTCTGATACCATGTAAAGAAACAAACAAAATTGATAGTGCTTAGCACTAGCCCAAGACCGTAGTACCCGAGAGACCCGAAAGAAACAAGAGAACTTCTAAGTATGAAGAATAATATGGAAGAACTCTCAAAAGGATTTAGGGAACTTTGAGTAGACACTCTTTCTTTCTTTTACGAAAACTTTCTTATTACTTTACTTGTTCAACTTCTTGTGATGTTTACAAATGAGAGGGTGAAGAGGTATTTATAGCCTCCTAAACTACCTTACAAATATCTAGATCATTCTACTATAACCTCCTTACTTCTTAGATTTTTATTTGTATTCTCTAGATTTTTCTACTACAATATCTAGATATTATTCTACTTGAGGAGGTGATGATTTTTCTAGAAAGATTCTAGAATTTTCTTAACTTTGGGTTTAGTCCAATAAGATTATTGGAACCCATAATTAAGCAAAGCCCAAAATCAAGTTTAACTTCAATATAAGAAAACTTCAAACTTTTAAGAACAAACAAATCAGAAATTTTAAACTAGGGCTGAGGTCACGAATGAATTATTGTTTTTATGAGAAGTTAAACAAAGAATCTCGAAGGTCAAATAAATAATGTAACCTGTTCAACATGACAGACACTGTCTTCTGCAAGAATCTTTCTCCTTCTTTCATATATACAAATAATAACAGTTTAACCAACGAAACAGAACAAAGTACATACCTGCTTACGTAATCATAAATATTATTATCTATTAATACTATATATTAAAACAAGAGATCAGCAAACTACATCATTAAAAGAGAGAACAAACATCTCAGCTCATTAAAAACCCATAGCATCAACTTCCTTTTCTCTTCTCTATCTTTATTATTTATCATCGTTCCTTTTGCAGAAAAAAAAACAGAGAAACAAAAGATCTTTATATCTTCTTTTTAACTACAGGTGGGGGTTTTTTTTTTTCTTTTTAAATTTAAGTGTGTATATCTAAGAACAGTAGATAGATCTTATTGGCTGGTATAGAACGGGACCACTTTGTTCTTGGGGTAAGATTCTGCACGCCCACATGGTGGAGACTAAAATAGAGTAGCATTACCCTTCATCACCTACTTGTGTCCAGAAGAAGTGGTGTTGAAAATATCATCTACTTGAGCAAAAGACTTTTTTTTCACAGCTTTTTTTTTTGGTTTTTTCTTAGAATCTTTTTTCATCAGTTATGTGCTTGTGTACCAATAAACTGAGACCAAACAAACCTCTTTCTAACTGAAAACAGAGACAAATCTTTTGTTTATCTGTCAGCTTATTTACTTCTTTTGAGTGTTTGAAACCCAAAGTCAATTATTCTCTTTATTTCTTGAAAATTCTGTCAACTTACTCAAATGAATCTTGATAAAAGTAAGTAATCTATTTTTTTGTTCTTTGGAAACTGATGTCATAGAGCATCAGGTTCTTAATTTAGGAATCTCATTCTTTTTTTCTTCTTCTTTGTTACATTTATTTTCTGCTGGAAATTTCTTTAATTTATGAATCTCATTCTTTTTTATTCTTCTTCTTTGTTACATTTATTTTCTGCTGGAAATTTCTTTAAATTTACCTTAACAAACTCAATAATTGCCCCTCCTCCATGTCCATTGGTGTTATTATTGGAGTACAATGGTTTCAAGTCAACTATATCTAGCTTTTATATATTTATAGCCTCTCTATGATCTCACAACCTCTCTTAAAGTCTATATTATTTACATATTGAAATGCACATTTGATCTTAGAATTTGCAGAGTTTTGCTCTTCTCTTCTCTTGTTCTTTTGGTGGTTTTGATCATGTTTCTGCAACATTTTTATTGCAGAATAGGTTATATAGACACCAAGGAAAGGAACCATAAGGAGACCTCAAAGACACTTGTTCTCACCACCAGTTCATGAAGAACAAGTCCTTGAAAAATTAAGAGTTTTGTTAGGCTTCTGGTGAATGCAAGATTGAGTTAAAGAAAAAAGGAAAGGATTCTTTTTATATGGAAGGTGGTAGTGGTGGTTTCTTACCCAATTCTAGCTTTAATGCTACAAATATGGACTTCATGGATGAACTCTTCTTTGATGGATGTTGGCTTGAGACAACAGATGGCAAGAGCTTGAAGCAGACAACGTCCACCAACATGAATGACAACAACAACAACAACAACAACAACTCTTTCCTTTATGATCAAATCTCCAACTTAGAGACAGGGGGAAAGTTTCCTCAAATAACACTAGGTCCTCTCAAGATAGAAGATCTCACAAATCAACCTATTAATCAAGTACCTTCTGACCAAGCAGAGAACTTATGGTGGATAGCTCCAAGAACAAGCCAAGGCCCTTCTTCATCAGTGGAAGATAGACTAGTACAAGCTATCAAGGGTCTTAACGAGGCGGTTCAGGACAAAGACTCTCTTATACAGATATGGGTGCCAATACAACAAGAAGGCAAGAACTTCCTCACCACTTTGGAGCAGCCACACTCTTTTAACCCTAAACACTTGAGTCTTAAAAGATACAGAGATGCCTCAGTTTCATATAACTTCTTGGCTGATGAAGATTCCAAGGAGTCTGTAGGTCTCCCTGGCCGTGTGTTCCTTGGGAAGTTACCTGAGTGGACACCTGATGTTCGGTTCTTCAGAAGTGAAGAGTATCCACGCATCAAAGAAGCTCAGAGATGTGATGTTAGAGGATCATTAGCTCTTCCTGTGTTTGAAAGAGGTAGTGGGATTTGTCTAGGTGTTGTTGAGATTGTCAGAACAACTCAAAAGATGAATTACAAGCCAGAACTTGAGAATATCTGTAAAGCTCTAAAGGTTTTTTCTCTCTGTCCCTTGGATCACAAGTTTTGTTTGTGTATTGTATACCCTAAAGATGAAAAGTATTTTTGTATTTTTGTAGGCTGTTAATCTAAGAAGTTCAGAAAACTTGAAATCCCCAAGCAGTGAGGTGTGTCAATATATTCTACTAAACTAAAACCAAAACATTTGATAATACACACATAAACAATGACTTTGCTTAATGTCATATCCAGTTTCTGCAGGTCTATAATCAATTCTACTATGCAGCATTACCTGAGGTATCAAACTTTTTGGCATCAGTCTGCAGATCATATGATCTCCCTCTAGCTTTAACATGGGCGCCGTGTGCTAGACAAGGCAAAGATGGTTCCAGACATTCAGATGAGAACTTCTCTGAGTGTGTTTCAACTGTAGATTCTGCTTGCTTTGTCCTTGACCAACAGAGTTATCAGTTCCAAGTGGCCTGCTCTGAACACCATTTGCTTCAAGGGGAAGGCATTGTGGGAAAAGCATTTAAAGCAACAAAACTGTTCTTTGTCCCTGAAGTTACCACTTTTAGTAAGACCAACTACTCCCTTGCACACCACGCTAAGATCTCTGGTCTACATGCAGCTTTAGCTGTCCCTTTGAAAAACAAATTCAATGGTTCTGTTGAGTTTGTGTTGGAGTTTTTCTTTCCCAAAACTTGCCTTGACACAGAAGCGCAACAAGAGATGCTTAAGTCACTGTCTGTGACACTGCAAAATGATTTCAGGAGTTTAAATCTTGTCATTGATAAAGAGTTAGAGCTTGAAGTGGTGTTTCCTGTAAGAGAGGAACTACTTTTCTCAGAGAAACCTTTGCCTCTGGAACCTTTGCCTTTGGAGGAAATCTCTCAAGAAGATTCCTCATGGATCTCTCACATGATAAAGGCTAATGAGAAGGGTAAAGGTGTGTCCCTTTCATGGGAGTACCAGAAAGAAGAGCCAAAAGAAGAGTTCATGCTGACACCTGGCTGGAACAATAATCAGATTGGCCTTGGCCATGGCCATGGCCACAGTAGCTTTGATTCAGATTCCTTTGGTGTAGGACAACCATTGTTAGGAAGTAGAAGACAAAATGAAAAGAGAAGAACAAAAACAGAGAAGACAATTGGTTTAGAAGTTCTTAGACAGTACTTTGCTGGAAGCCTCAAAGATGCAGCCAAGAACATTGGTGGTAAGATAAAACTTTCTTGTTATTTAATTATATCTCTATTTCATTAATTTCTCAGACAGTGATGAGATTTTTTTTTCATTCTTATGTTTGTTTCAGTTTGTCCAACTACATTGAAAAGAATATGTAGGCAACATGGGATAACAAGATGGCCTTCAAGGAAGATCAAGAAAGTGGGACACTCTTTAAAGAAACTCCAACTTGTTATAGACTCTGTTCAAGGTGTTCAAGGCTCTATCCAACTTGATTCTTTCTACACAAGTTTCCCAGAGTTAAGCTCCCAAAATGTATCTGGTACTGGTACTTACTTCAAGAATGCTCAAACTGAGAACGGTGTTTCAGCTCCGGTAGTTGCTTTAAGATCATCACCACCACCACCATCTTCTTGTAGCCACAGCTCCGGTTCAAGCACATGCTGCTCAACTGAAGCTAATCAAAGCACCAATACTGCAAACACCTTAACCACTCTGATGGCTGAAAATGCTGGAGAAATCTTGAAGAGAGCTCGGAGCGAGGTAAAGCTTCACACCATGGAGGAAACAAAGTGTCTCCCTAGAACACTGAGCCACAAAACAATCACTAGCTTGAAAGCTGTAGGAGCCTCCTCTAAAGTGAAAGCCACGTTTGGTGAGGCCAAAGTAAGGTTTACTTTGCTCCCAACATGGGGCTTCAGAGAGTTGCAGAAAGAGATTGCTAGGCGTTTTAACATAGATAATATTGCAATCTTTGATCTTAAGTACTTGGATGATGACAAGGAGTGGGTTCTTCTAACGTGTGAAGCTGACTTGGAGGAGTGTATAGACATTTATAGATCATCACAGAGCCGCACAATCAAGATAAGCGTTCATGAAGCTTCTCAACTCAAGCTGAGAGGTTCTTTTGGTAGTAATTAAGCCAAAAGGAAAGGTTGCTACCTGAAAACACAAGGAGATTGTTCTACTAATTTAATAATATGTGTTAGAAACAAAATATTACTCACCATTTTATAGACTCAGGGACTCGTTTGTAAACATGTTTCAGTGCCCTGGATCATAGCATTTGACAGGCAGTAGTAGTAGTAGTAAACTGGTTAATTTTCTGCATCGTCTTAGCAGATTTTTTTTTTCTTTTTTGTTTGTTTGTATAATAAGGCGATTGCATACCAGGAACATACTTATATGTTGTTTTTATTTATTTGATGTACATCATTTGTTTACACATGAAAACATTAGTCATGCAATTTTCCTCTTTCTTTCTTCTGCAGCAAGAAAAAGACAGAACTAAAGCTACCAAGGAGTGAATATTAGGAGCTGTACTAATCTTTGATCTATCCTCAAATCTTTTATCCTTTCAAGAAGAAAGAAAGAGGAAAATTGCAAAGTGCAGCTCCTAATATTCACTCCTTGGTAGTCTGCGTATTGGTAGGTTTAGTTCTGTCTTTTTCTTATTTTATTTTGTGGTAATCTACTATTTTAACTATTGATATATGTAATCAGAATGTTTATTTTTAACAAATCTGATTGGTTACTGTTGCGATGGAGACGAGATACTTCTTGTTGCTGAGTTCATGCCTAACGATACACTCGGTAAGCATTTGTTCCATTGTGATTGTTGATTGGGGATTGTATTGTAACCATAAAGAGAAGAAAATTAATGTTGGTTTGTAATGCAATATATGTTGTAAGATTAACCATACAAAAAACTATGGTTTAATAAAAAGAGACCTCTGAAATCAATAATGCAGTAAAGCTTGCTTTTGTATAACCTTTTTGTTTATGTTTGTTTGTTTGTTTGTGTATATTTATAGCTTAATGTATGGTAAGAACATAAAGGTAGATAAGAATATGATGCTAATATCTGATTGAAAGCAAATAAATAGGGTAAATTTGTATATTCTTATTTAGAGGTATTAACATTTCCTTTCCGTACAACATTTTTGTAGGTTCAGTGACCTAAAGACTGTTAAGAACTGAAACTCAGTATTTGATAAAAGACTTTGAGAGTGATTCAAGTCCATCTTCAAGATCTTGAATACATGACTCTAGGATCTGCACATCCTCAATCTTCAATGACTTCTCTGATTGGAACTCCAAATCCACCACTGTGAATTCATTTGCTTCTCCTTCAAATGTAACTTTGTTCTGGTTCATCAGCTTTGAGACCAAAGACCATTTGGCACAAGCCTTTGATCCGGACATGAAGCTAAACAGAGATTGAAACAGAGTAATTGTTACAGCTTCTGCTTCTCCAAACACAGCCAAAGACTCTTGGCTCTCTTTGTTTTGTCCCACTTTCAAATTCTTGACTACTTTTTGAAATGATTTCTTGAGACACTTTCTTGAGGATAAGTATTTCTTGATCTCACTAGATAGATCTCCACGCTTTCTTCGTAGAATTGATTGTATCTCCATGAGACCTTCTTTCATCTGAGACAAAGCGTCCTTGGAAATGTTGCATAGATCTAAGATCTTGAGGGATCCATCAAGAAGCTTCTCAATCTGTTCTTGAGATAAAGCATGGTTGGTGATAGATAGACGAATCATCTTTTCAAGAGAATCATGTAGATCTTGAAGCTTGGTAAGTCCTTGGCAAATAGAAGAGCTTGAAGCTGCTTCAGAAGATCTCAGCCTGGTTAATTGCTCATTGACATGAGCGGCTTGAGGGTGTTGTCTTGATGGGTAACTCTTAGAACGAACATGGAAGGAGACTGTCATTTTGTGTTAGAGATTTGAAATATGTTTTGTTTTGTTCTGTATTCATTGGCTATCTTTTGAAAGCTTATATACACCCTTGTGTAATTGAAGACATGGTCAGTGACGGCGATGATTGTGAAATGTCATATATAATGATAATTGAAAAGATATGATTCAGATTTAGTCACATTGATTGTCTTATTAAATAATGTTGTTGCGGTAACGATTCTACATCTTATTGGTTTAGGTACATGCAAAACCAGCAAGGCATGTCTCACTGAAAAAAATATGATATTAGCACAACTCGTGTAGATGCATTCTTTGTTGGTTAAGGTAGATCTTGTCTACAACCTACATTGCAAGATTTGATTTCTCCAACTTCTTAAATACTAATGACACGAAGTGGAATATATAAATATATATCCATGCTGGATTTTCCTTTAAACAAAGATAATAAGATGCAGAGTAACCTCGTGTACATTCAATTATTTTATTATGGTTATCCATTTAGGAAGCTAGAAGAAGGAAGGAGGCTTAAGCCTTTACACCCTTTTGGTACTTGATCCAGACAGAGAAACAGAAAAACAAAGCTACAATTCTAAGACAGAGAGCTACAGAGAACATATAAATAAACAAAGAAAATACAAGTGTAAGCTATATAGAGGAGTTTGCTGCGGATTTTATTAGTAGAACAAGAATTGCATAATCTCCTAATTTGTAACACTAACCAAAAGGTGATTCAAGTAAGTCCAGTTTCTTGCGGTGAAAATTATTTGATTGGCCGCACTATATTCAATAAATATAGAAATTACCTAGATATGTGACAATTATTTATATTTTGAAACAAAAAATAATCTAAAACTACTTACAATAAGAAACTGATGAAGTAGAACTTACAGTTTCATCTTTTTAAATAGGTCTACCTTGCTTGTAAAATCTTATCTAATGATTTAGATGAGACATTTTTACTTATGTCTCGCTTCATCTTCTCTATTAAAAGAGAAGTACCAAATTTATCTACTATTAAAAAGTCCTGTTAAACGATGCCATTAATTATTTTATATGATATATTTGATTGTTACATTAACCAATCAATCAAATATATATTATATTCAAAATATCTTAATATTTAATAAAGATATTAATAATAAATCAATTTAAATATAATACAATCTGTTGAAAAAATCTAAGAAGATCTTAGCAAAAATTTTAAATATTTTTAATATAATAAGTATTTCTTTATTTCATTATTAGATATAATTATATATTAATTTTAATTAAAAATAAAATATAAATCATATATTTAAAAAAATTAATTATATATTTATAAAATGAAAAACCTACCCGCACGGATGTGCGGGTGAAAATCTAGTTGGTTTTATCTTTGAAGATTTTTAGTCCAGTTTTGGTCTATTTGGCCTAAATCTTAATATTACTCATGCTTTATTGATTATATAGTTTCTTTTTTCTTAAAGAATGTGTGTACTTTTTTATTGATCTTAAAATTTATAGAGATTGTAAAAATACATCTTATATTGCATATACAAGGTTGGACGATTAGTAACTTGATGTATAAATTAATACTCGAGTTGAAAGATAAATTATAATTTGAGGTAATTTGTCGTAAAATTAAGTGAAAATGCTGTAAATTAATATGGTAAGACAGCTATACAAAAATAGAAGTTATCATTTTGTCAAAATAAGATTGACAACTTTTCTACTGTAGAAGTGGCACATATGTTATTGAAAATAAATTCAAATAAAGACAAATGAAATATTGATTTACTTCTAAATGTTTAAAACATTATTGGCTAAAAGAAATAACATTTAGTTATCAAAACAATAAAATTGAGTTATTTAAAATACAATTAGTTTAATAAGTAATTTTTGTTGACAAGTTAAAACAAAACGATAAATGAGAAATTGATGATTCTGCTTCTAAATAATCATTTTAACATTAAGTTCTTAGTTATAAATTTAACAAGTGCATAACTCAACATTCTAAATTAACGGTTATTCATTCTAATTCAAAAAGCTTATAAAAATAGTACTTATTCATCATTAGTCTTCATTGCATTTATTAGTTATCAACATTGATTGATGAAAATAGTCTTTTCAAGAGCAGTCACCATTCTTTTAGTTATATATCATGATAATTACTTGAAATAGTTGTTTAGCTATCAATTTCACTTCTCTCGCTTCAATCCTAGTTTACACAAAATTTGGATTATTCATGAACTTTGGTTAGAGAAACTTGATAAGACCAAACAAAATGGACATTGAGACATATGCTTATTCTGAACAGTGAAAGGAAGTACTTCTCCTCCACATAGAAGTCCTACAATACCAAAGATCAAGATTCCTTGGATGAGACATGCTTGGATTTCTCAGAGGCTTACACTCCTCTGATCTTTGCCTCTTTATTTGCTCTCATGCACTGAAGAGCTCTTGCATGGGGAATCCGGTCCGGGCCCGAAGGCTTACTGACTTCATGACAGTGTTAGAAACTGTTAGACATCAGATGAAGTTCTACGGTGAAACATGAACGACCTCCAACATGCAGATTCAATACACTTGTTTGGATCATGCATGCCGCGACTTTTCTAAGGCTTACACGCTAGAGATCTTCGCCTCAACCTTTGCTTTCATTGGCGGCCTTTCCACTCTTGGGAACTACCTGTAGCAGAGTAATCAGTTGAACAAGAAGCTTGGCATCATCACAAGTGAAGTTCGTGTAAGGTTCAGTGTGAGATGTTGAGCGATCTTGAGAGTCGTTATGTTGAGGAAAAAGAATCCTCAGAGAAACAAGTCAAAAAGTTGGTTGCTTGTGTGAAGGAGGATCTGATGAAAGAAGTAGCACTTGTCCAGCTTGAAGTGCAAAAAGAAATGGCTGAGTTGAAGGGAAAAATCGATCTTGTTGGTGAGGAAAGGAATCCACCAGTTCTTGTAACTTTGTTTCTTCTTTCGTGATATGTCTATCCACTGGTGCTGAGAAGCGGGTCAAACTCGCCCGCCGGACCTGCAAAGAAAATATATTTTATTCGCATCCGTCCCATTTAATTTGTGGGTCCACATGACCCACATATAAATACTAAATAATAAAATAATTATTTTTTTAGTTTTTCTAAAAAATAATATTAAATAGTATATTTTTAATGAAATTTAGTATATTTTTGAAAAATAAACTTTTTAAATTTGGTTTTTTCTATTTTTTGCAGATTATCAGATATCCACAATTGAAGTTACAACAACCCGCATTCGTCCGGCGTAAAATAATCTTGACCTGCACCCATATCCGTAACTTATTTTTTTCAAATCGATCGACCCGATCTATGGCGAATCGAACGAGGCGAGATTCGCGGACTAATAATTAGAAGATAAATTTAACCATTAATGAAAAATTAATTTTGTTCATAAGAATAAAATGGTAGCTTAACTTTTCCATCAGGAAAAAAAATCGCGATGGCGATGGCGACGGCGACGAAGAATGCGAACTAGGGTTTCGATGCCTTGGGGAGATGGAAATCATGGAGACTCGAGGGCTTTATGGATACGGGATCTCTTTGATCTTGTCCAGGATGCAATATTTGGGGATTTTGGTATAGTAAGGGGAGGATCTGAGATGGGAATCGTGAAAGGATATCGATTGGTTCGATGGGATCACAAAGGAAGGAATATATTGGGAAGATCTCAAAGTCTTAACTCAACACGATCTCTTCCATATCAAGGTTACCAATTGAAGAGTAAAAAAGGTATGATTTTGTGGTGGAATAATGAGGAATCCGATTGGTTTTATACAGAGGATTTGCGGTATTATAAGGTATACCACAGTATGGTAACTTTGAGATTTTGTATGGAATGGATTTGTTGTCGCTATCTAATGGGATACTCAGGAAATTATCTACAAATCATTTCCTTTGTCTCTGATTCTCTGGATTCTGTGACAATGATTTGCAGGGTATCTCGATGGATATTTGGTGTTCTAAGTTTTCAGTTTGAAATAAGCTCCACGAGCATTAGTGTTGTTTTTATATTTGGTTCTTATTGGTGTATGGGCTTTTCTTTCATTTTGTATGTTTGGTGCTCGTTGGTTTTGAGTTTACCTCTATGGAATAATAATGGTTTACTTGGTTATTTGTGGCTCTGTTTTCTTGTTGGCAAGAGATTTTTAAGGGTCTTCTGTTTGGTAGTTTGGATTTGGACTCAACTACCTCCTTTCCGTGGCTGTATCATTCTGGGTGTGTGGGAGTATGAGGTGGATCATACAGGGCTTTGGGCTTCATCATGCCTACGGGGGTGCAATGTGAACTTTTGTTTTCAAGGTTTTGATGGTAGAAGAAAGAGAGACACAGGTGGACAAAGGGCTAATAAAGTAGCCATTCATATGGTTTATATGTATAAAAAAGATACGGAGACCATAAAAGGACGTTCACGTTTTGTTCTTTTCCTACGACAAATGTCTAGTTTTGTAAGTATCAAGAAGAAAGCATGGGTTCAACGATTATGGCTTGACTTTGTCAATGCAGGGTCAAATGTTTTTTTGAGGATCACATCACTGGTGGTTTCTGTCTTATCTAGTGTATTACATCATGTTTCCTTGTTCCTTATATGTGAGGTTCATGTTTCTTTTGTCTTTGTGTTGCGCTCTCTTTGGTTTTATAAGGGCTTGTTTTTTCCTATTTCAAGTTTAATGGCTGTGGTTTGGCCTTTCCTATTTAATAATACTGTCTCTTTGAGGGCTTATATGATTTGTGTGATGAGGTTTGGATACTATCATGTTAGTATCTGTTACTACGGGGTAAGAGTTCTTAATTTAATTACGTATTGGGTGTCTAGTACTGAGAATAGAGAACAATGTGGTTACCTACAGAGATTTTTCTACTTCAGATTATACATGCTTAATAATTATTCATTTTGGCTGTTTGCTTATGATTTTATCATGGAACTGCATTTTTTGGGGTTGTATGAGGCAATATCAGGGATTTGTTATATTGCAGTGAAAGTGTTTCAGAAAGTATTAG